CAAAGCGATTACCACTGAAACAAATTACCTTCATTTCACACATATTCAAATGAATTCACTGTAATCTTCGTCGTCCTATGGCGGTCGAAGTGTATTTAATGGAGATCATCCACTCGTCGGGAAACGCATCATTCATCCGAGCTCATTTAAGAGCAAGCAGAATAACATATGTAAGTAGCTCTGAAGGCAGAACGTGGCTGCTTGACGATACCGGTAACCGTTTGAGGTTTGCGTCGGCTTGACGTTCACCGTTGATAGTCTAGTATTCAGGTGGATCAGAGAGGAATGGAAATGGTAGAACACCGGGTTCTTCCATGAACATCTGCATATCACGTGCATAATCACGTCGAGATTTCGGTACTGCTGAAATGACCACTTGATTGACGGAGCAGTGTTGGAGGTCAGAACTTAAAGGCACCGGTCATGATTGAATTTGCGTGCAGTTTCGTTATAAAGTTAGATAAGAAGAGAAGTGTGAAGAGGGACGCCTGAGGGGAAAAAAGCAAAAAGCACCATAGAGACCGCTGAAATTTTTCTCGTGAGGTCGAACGTGGTACGACAGCGGTCGCAGCGGTCAAGCAAAAGTATTAGCTCCCCTTGTCGCGCACTTACACCCTAGAATCAGAGATCCTCCACATTAGTGGAAGGGAGAGTAATCTAGGGATGTTATCGCGACCCGTGCCTGCAAGAGTAAGGTTCACTGGAATCACCGTACTCCCTCAACTTCACTAGTTGATGGGTCCATATCCATTTCTCCGTAGGGGCAACAAAAAGTGTAAAAAATTGCGCCCTTCAAAACCCGGAGTATCTAGCAGTTGGCTTAAAGGCTCATTCCAGGTAGCAAAATGAAACAAAAGAATTGAAACCTGGGTAATAGGTGCTATTCGACATTTCAGTAAAAAAAATGAAAAGAAACCATGGAAACGCCCTGAACGAGACACTCTTTATCTGGCTGCGAGGGGACTTGGTGGAGAGCGAGAAGAGCAAAATGAGGTGGTCATGTATTGCCAAGCTCGGCAAGTCCTTTGGCGCCCTATACAGCGCTTTGAAGTTTAGTGCAACTGCCCTAACAGCTGAAAGTTGCGGGTCTTTGAACTAATTGTAAGAGGGATTGGTTTTCCAACTGATCTGGCTCATTGAAAATGTGCCTTCTAAATCCTCGCACGGCTATGTTTAGACACGAGTTCAGTTTCAATGCGCAGCACGAAGAGGGCGTATTATCATAAATACTAGTGTTTTCAGCGGCCAACGTGTTGAGGATATCTCTGGCACAGGAAAATAGTTAGATTTGCAGTAACAATATGGAAACTCAGAATAATTTTAAGGAGGGGGGGGGGGGGGGGGCTGGGGGAATATCACATAGGAGTAGTTCGACTTCCCGTTTTCGGAAAAACGAGACGGAAGCTGAACTGGACAGTACCCCCCCCCCCCCTAAGTGCTTCTCAGTAAGGAATGGAGGAAAAAGCGTTGAATAAGCATAATTTATATGATTGGCAATAACTTTATTGGAAAAATATTAATTATTGGAAAAATTTGAAAACAATCTGTTTATAGCGATTTGTGGCCACGACCTTATACCCAACTTCCTTGGAATTCGATTCTGTGAGGGATTTTATTCCGACATTTCGTAAGCAGAGCTGTTAATCCTTACCTTCCATGGGTACGACACTATTCCGTTCCATATACGAGGCCAGTTGCATCTGCGGTACTTCAGCCAGTACTTCCTTTCGCTAACATATTCATTATGTGTTCGTTTTCGATTTCAACTGATCCGCAGTAGAAGTCACGAAGAGCGACGAACTGCAAAGAGTGACTTAATCAACATTTAATTCAGTTTTTCTGAAATTCTTTGAAAACATTCGCTAATTTTTGTGGTATTTTATACCAGGTTATTAATGGATAAACCGTTTACCGCCTCCCCTTTCAAGGAACGAGAGATCGTGCGTGGCAGACTAATACGCCTACAAGTGACGAAAAGGGTCCACGCGGAAGCTAAATCTGCGTTAGTAGGTTCATGGATAGCTGATTTTTGGTGAATGATAGTTGTAATTAGTGACAACTGATAGAATACAACTGCAACAGAATAATCATCATGCTAATCATTCATTGGCAGAAACATTTACATTTTGTGGAGGCCGTCGTCACTTGTGGTGTATGGTCTGCACCCGACGCTCTTCTCGTTTTTTCAAAGGGAGTATATTTGGTTGACGCTAATGGTATCCTTGGGATACGCCGCGCATTCTACTCAAATCCAAAATTGTGTTTGTACAAATCCTTATTTTTACCTTTGTAATTTCAATCAGTTAACAATATCAGTTGTAGATTTAAATAGTTCATTTTCGAAAGATTCATTTATTTATCCGTACTAGTTATGTATGGGATGCTTGTTGAGCTGTGAGGTGATACGGGCCACTCACTCTGCTAGCGATAGTTGCGCCTCTGGCCTGCAGCATATTGGTTAACCTTGGCATGGATAAGTACTTGGACATTTAGAAGACCGGCTCAAGACGTTGAGTGTCGTTCTGGGGTGAGCCACGCATTTGACCTCTACTCAAAATAGCAAAGGCATGAGCAATTTTTGTTCTCTGCTGCGCGCCGAGCATTAGTCGTTGCACAACAGCATTCCTATGCATCCAGACTGGTCTGGCAATACGTAACCAACTTGGGATAAACGAAGGAATTGCCGGTATGGGGTTTCTCCATCCACAAACCGTACTTTCTTGTGTCACGACATGCTGCGGCTCCATGGTGAGACGGTCGCGTATGAACTACGTATGCATTGCAAAGCATTTCGTCGCAGTTTAAACTTCTTACAGGAGGCGTCGTCTTCGAATTTTGAAGTACAAAATTGGTTTTGATTCCTATAGATGTAGATTTGATCAGGAGCATTTGCAAGGAGTATTACCGATTACCTGTACTATATCTCGTTGAGCGGTTCGACCGTCATGTGAAAGCAGCATGTCGTCTGAATCGAGTTCGGCCATACTGCTGAAGTCCTCATTGCCCACTCCGACAATAATTATTGAAAGAGGTAAATAGGAAGCCTTGAAAAGAGTTATAATTTGTAAGAATGCCATAATGGTGGTGATCAGGGGCGAAACGTTGCTACATTGAAACGGTCTCTAACTATCAGTTACACTTCCCAGGCACCTTACCTTCCCACTACCGAAACTCTACACACCTCGCTGATATTACTTGTACGTGTCCTCAAGGACTAGATAGGTCGATATTGTTGTTAGAGGTTCAGATGAGGCGTGAGCCTACAATGAGGTCAACCGTCTTGGGCAAAACGTTCTTTATTTATTGTACTTGTTGGTGCAATCACGAAGAAATTGTTTGGCACGGTTGTCCACTCGCAGGCAAGTTCAAGAGTGCTCAATATCTTGTGGTTTGGAGGTTCGCACATAGTTTGATAAATGGTAAAATGTAAGTTTTCGAGAGAGATGAAAAGTGTTTTCGCATGGAATATGTTAACGAATTCAAAAAAGTAGAGAATAAGATTTTGGGCAATTGCAATAACTCTCCTCCCGTGTTCGCCTCCCAGATGGATGGACCATTTGAAAAAAGAAGGCGGGTTGAAGGAGGCGGTAGGTAGGATGGGACCACTAATGGAGTGGCCGAAAGGAGTTGGATAAAGGACCCTCCAAAAAGAGGAGGTATGGTCATCCTTGAGTTAAAATTCCCAACGTAGTGATTGGTCCCAACGTGGTGCTGCCTGATATCAGTCCCTGTTAGAGAGTAGGATTCCGTACAAGTCCTAGGGTTTACCCAGATTCAGCGCTCTATTTACTATGTCTCGAGTCTCGGGTTCTCGTATCTGAGTTTGTGGTCAAAAAGAAAAAGCTTTTAACAAACAGAAGTCATACACTACTTACATTTATAATGGCCCGCTTCGTACTTGACATGTCGGAAATTGCTCCATCAGTGATGATTAGGAAGATCTAAACTATATCCATGCTCTGAAGTTGGACATAAAAATAAGCCTATAGATTCCAAAATTAGGACCTATTTCGGAGCAAAGCAATGCTGATCAGTTGAAAAAGGAGGAGAATATAAGGAGAGTGATTACCAGGCCACCCTAAGAACTGAATGGTATCTTTCAAGTATGAGTTTGGCGCGATATCGTGGCAGGCTATTTTCAATGCCACAGGCGACCCAGATTTTCTTGCGGTTATCCTTGCATTGATTATGTGAGCGTAAAATCGATCTGTATCTTGCAAGACATGCATTTGAATCGACATCCTATCAGAGGAAAAACACGCTAACAGCTTGAAACTCGATCTGATCTGCAGAGTAGTTCTGTGGAGTAGTTTCATGGATTCCTCAATTAGAGATTTCTAGATAGTGAACCACCGTACCTGGTAGTGAGAACCATCGCGTACTTCAGCCGCTCTTCGTGCTGCTTCTGTGATTACCGGAGCGAAATTGGTAGGGCCATAAAGGCGAACGAGCGGTACGCATTTGTGGTAGGCGTTCAGAACGCCTTCTAGGCGGCGCACCACGCAGCTTGAGGAGAGGTTCTGGAGTGTAGAAAACAATCGTAACATATAGTATGATGTCTCTATCGATTGATACCGTAGTACCTTGTAGATTTTCTAGACACTCTTTTCATTTTACTCAAATTCAATCCTATGAAAACTTTTCCTGTTAGTGAAATTGTAGCAAGGACTGTTGAAGAAATTGGGTTAGGCAAGTCTTGTTCGTTTTTTGACCGTTCAATTTTGACAAGAACTCCAAAACCTATGCCTATTGAACCTCTTCAATCTTGGAAAGGCAACAATGTGATGATCAGTTTCATTCTTGGGCTACGCCGTTGAATCCGACTTTCATTTGTGGCCGCACCGGTCTTTAAAGGAACATCAGGCTTACACGAAGAATTACAACTGCAATCCTGTGTGCAGCCTGGTGTTTTCTACGTGGACGACTCCGCTAATTAATTAAGCTGTGGAAGATTTATTCGGCTCAGGCGAGGATTGATTTGAGGTTGCAGGTGTGCAGCAGCATTGCAAGTGCCCATGTCCCACTTCCGCCTGGCTTTCAGTGGCTCTCATTGGGCTATTCGAAATTTGGTAGAGTCTGGGCTTGTTTGGTAGGTTCTCCCTGTCACAGATCGCGGTGGTGTTACTGGTACCTCCTGGCGAGTGCTGCCTACCACATCCTAGTTCAAACGATCATATCTGGACAAGTATGCTTTGACCTCTAAATGAGCAGCGGGTATCAGGAGCATCAAAAATAAACTAACAACTCCAGTAATATTTAATGTTCTAAACTGTTCAGTTATAGAGGGTTTCTATATGAAATTGACATTTCTTCCACAAGCATGCAATCAGCTATAATTATACAGGGGTATGGGCCAAAAAAAAGCCATTTCATCTATCTCGCATATCACCATATCATCGTCGAAACATGATGTATCTGCCATCACCGTCGAGCTCAAGGAGGCTACCGTAATCGCTCCAGCGTGAAGCTGCTACATAATTTCTTCAATCGTCGGCTGAGTATAGCTTCTCAGGGGCACTAGCTCTGACTATGCAACACTTCTTGCGAGCAGCACTCTGGATAAGATCGTAATGGCCTGTGACCCATCGAGGACTTCGTTTGGTTCGACCTGTGCACCATGTTCCCGTGTGGAAATCTTCTGGTTTCGTCGGGGTAAACGACTATTATAAAGGTTTTTGATTGACTGAAAGGCACCCTTCGATCGGTTGGGATGATTTCGTTTGGATCTAGCAAAGTGTGATTAATTTTGTTTAAAATATGGAGGGGAGTGACTCTTTTTTTGTCCCTCCCTCCACTTGCAAATTAAAAAGTTCGGATATATTAATTTTTCATCTTCAGATTTCGTGTGATCTGTGAAGTGAAAATTGGCGGTTAGTTCATAACGATAATTTCAAACAGCAGTACCAAATTGAAAACCGGCGAGACTTTCTTCTGTCCAGGAATAATGGCACCAAAGCCGAACGCATTGAATAGCTGCGTACGGCTATAAAACTGACAGATATCGACGACGGCTCTGAACAGTTTCACTTATTAGTTGACTTGGAATTTTCGCATAATTGCAAACATTAGGAACAGTTCTGATAGGAAACATACAGTACAGTAAGTTAAAAGTGCAGTGTTGCGCCACACCCACGGCATCTATCCAGCATTGTAAAGACATTTGAAGGGGTATGGATTATGCAGGGGATTGTCAGATCAGTCGTCAGTATGGCCAGTTCTCCTTCTTTCCAAGACATACCTTATCGAGACTTATCGCAAATTACCATCCAGAAAGGATGTAAGGCCTAGCAGGCTTAGAGCTCGGTCCAGCGGTACTGAAGACATTCCAAGGTACTACTTAAAGGCAAGATTCAGGATTGAATTATGAGGTAATTCCTCTCAAATGTGAAAGTAGGGGTAGGTAGTGGACCGCCAGTGCAGAAAAG